GCTCCCCCACCTTGGCACCCACTCAGAGACTGAGTCCTGCAGAAGCCTTGCCGCCTGTTTCCCAGGGAGGCGCTGAAAAGGCTCCAGAGCTGCCTGCAAGAAGTGGACCTGAGCTTCCAGCCCCTGGCACCTTCTCCCCAGCCTCCCCACCCAGCTCTCCCAATGACTGGCCTCAGGAGAGGAGCCCGGGGGGCCGCTCGGACAGCACCAGTCCGAGGGGGCCTGTCCCCAACACCCTGCCCGGCCTCCGTCACGCCCCCTGGCAGGGCCTGCGAGACCCCCCGGACAGCCCGGACGGGTCCCCCCTCACTCCTGTGCCTACTCAGATGCCCTGGCTTGTGGCCAGCCCAGAACCCCCTCAGAGCTCGCCCACACCTGCCTTTCCTCTGGCTGTATCTTATGACATCAATGGCCCCCCACAGCCCCCTCTTCCTGAGAAACGCCACCTGCTGGGGCCTGGACAGCAGCCTGGACCCTGGGGCCCAGAGCAGGCATCACCACCAGCCAGAGGCGCTAGTCACCACGTCACTTTTGCACCTCTGCTCCCGGATAATGCCCCCCAACCCCAAGGTATAAAGGCCTTCAGGAGGCTGGGGCCACCTTGGGAGAATGCTTGTTTCCAGGGAGGGGCATGGCATGGGGACTGGGGAGCCCTGAGGTCAAGCTTAGTCCCTCCCTGTTCTAGAGCCCCCGATGCAAGAGAGCCAGAGCAATGTCAAGTTTGTCCAGGACACATCCAAGTTCTGGTACAAGCCACACCTGTCCCGTGACCAAGGTGAGAAGCCAGCCTGCCCCCATCCCCTCCGGGCCTTTGGCTCAGCTTCTGGTTCGCGCCACTTCCCCGTGTCAGCAGGCCTCCTCTGGGCCAAGCCTCTCTCTAGCAGGTGATTCTGGGTTTAAGGCCCAAGGAGGTCTCACATGGTCGGTGCCCACTGCACTGACTCCCCAGTGGCATCCTGGGTGCTGACACCACAGCTGTCAGGGCCAGAGGTCTGGGGGGCTCGGGCAGCAGAGCGGAGGGGCTACCTGGGGCTTGGTCGGCCGCCGTGAAAACTTCTCCCGCCTCCCCCAGCCATCGCCCTGCTGAAGGACAAAGACCCCGGGGCCTTCCTGATCAGGGACAGTCATTCATTCCAAGGAGCCTATGGGCTGGCTCTCAAGGTGGCTACGCCCCCTCCCAGCGCCCAGTCCTGGAAAGGTACAGAGTGGCCCAACCTGAGGGGTAAGGGGAGTGGGGTGAGGGAGGCACAGAGGCAAGACCAGGCAGGGTGGCCCATGTCACTTCGTAGTAGGGAAGAGGAGGAGATGAGCTCTCCTGCTTGGTAGAAAATTCCAGCAGAGAGAAGCAGAACCTGGAATCTTCTTCTCCACTCCCATCAGGGGACCCCTCGGAACAGCTGGTCCGCCATTTTCTCATTGAGACTGGGCCCAAAGGGGTGAAGATCAAGGGCTGTCCCAGCGAGCCCTACTTTGGTGAGAATCAGGGGTGGGGAAGGCTGCACTTGGCCTTCCAGGGAGTCCAAGAGGTGTCAGGAGGGAGGTGGAGGACTGGAGGTATCTCTGGGCACCTTGGGAGCCCACTTGCCTCTCCCCTGCAGGCAGCCTGTCAGCCCTGGTCTCCCAGCACTCCATCTCGCCACTGTCCCTGCCCTGCTGCCTGCGCATTCCCAGCAAAGGTGGGTGTCTGGTCATCCATCCTCCCCCTTCTCCCCTCCCACTGGGGCCAAAGGCAGAATCTCTAGTCCTGGCTCCCTGTCTGCCTGCCTTCCCTTGGGACGGCAGAGGGCGCCCTCACCTCCTGGGACTGCCACTCCCTGCTGACCCCCGTTTTCCTCAGATCCTCTGGAGGAGGTCCCAGAGGCCCCAGTGCCCAGCAACATGAGTACGGCAGCAGACCTCCTGCGTCAAGGCGCCGGTACGGGTCTCTCCCTCCTTCCCTCCCCTGGGCACCAGAGGGGACACCCCTGACATGGGGAACAGAGAGGCCTTGATGTGTGTGGGCTGGCCCTGGCAGATGCACCTCAACCAAGAAAGCAGGGGAGGCCTGTATCCATAAGCACGATGGGACAGGGAGTCCTATCTAGGCTGCGGGGGGTTGGGGGGGGTCTTGCTAGAATGCAGATTCTCCGGCCTCTTTCCAGCATCCCCGACTATAGATCTCGCGGAGTCACTGAGTCTGCCTTTTTAACAGGTTACCTGTGTGACGGCTGCACTTTGAGCAGCACTAGCTGGGGAAAGTGCGAGAGCTGGGCGGGTGGGAGGAACACGGAGGGGAGATAGAGCTGGAGGTTGGCAGAGCCACCGCTCCCTGCTCCCTTCAACCCACTCCTCACCCTGTAGCCTGCAGTGTGCTCTACCTGACCTCGGTGGAGACGGAGTCGCTGACAGGCCCCCAAGCGGTGGCACGGGCCAGCTCTGCGGCTCTGAGCTGCAGCCCCCGCCCCACACCAGCCATTGTCCACTTCAAGGTCTCAGCCCAGGGCATCACACTCACAGACAACCAAAGGAAGTGAGTATGTGTGCTGGATAAGCCCCTGGGGGACCCCAGGCACAGACCCCGGGAACCCCGGTTTCTGGATGACTTTTCCCACCCTCGTCCTCACAGGCTCTTCTTTCGCCGCCATTATCCAGTGAACAGCATCACCTTCTGCAGCACTGACCCTCAGGACCGGAGGTGACCCTCCCTCCCAGCCCTTTCATTCCACAGCCCCCAGCCCAGCTTCTCCATTGGTAGCTCTTCCCTGGGTGCATCCCTTCACATTTCTTCTCCTTCCACAGATGGACCAACTCCGACTGCACCACCTCCAAGTAAGCCTCCCCCAGAGTGCCGTCTCCCCTCCCAGCATGGCATCAGTGTGGTGTCCAGGCGCCTCCTTGCTCCCCATCCCTGGCATGGCTGTCCCTGAGGAAGGGATGCTCAGCCCTCCCCACCCTGCCTTTGTACCCCCAGGATCTTTGGTTTCGTGGCCAAGAAGCCGGGAAGCCCTTGGGAGAATGTGTGTCACCTCTTTGCAGAGCTTGACCCAGATCAGCCTGCAGGCGCCATTGTCACCTTCATCACCAAAGTTTTACTGGGCCAGAGGAAATGAAGGAAGGCCACAAGCTCCAAGCCCGCATCGACACTGTGCCCCTCTCAGCACCACACAGCCCTCACTTCCCCTGGCCTGGACCCAGGAGACCCGGGAGCCGGCCTCTCCCCTAGGAATGGGGAGCAGACACACCAGCCTGCGACACTGCTCTCCTTCCCCACCCCCAGCCTGCTAAGCGAAGTGGATGGGCCCAGGAGATGACCTTGCATGTGAGCAGAGGGCAGAGACGGGTGTGTGAGGGTGAGGCGGTGGAGCCTGGAAGGGGTGATCAGGACAGCCCCACCTGCAGGAGAGCATCAGCGCTGGCAGGGGAGACAGGCCTTGCCTGCTCCACCAGCTACAGGTCCCAGCACGGCAGGGAGAGAGGAGAGGTGTGGGGAGCAAGGCACTCCCTCCTTTGCCTCCCCTCTGAGCAGAGAGATCAGAGTAGGATCACATGAAAACAGGGGGGAAAAAAAGAGTCTATTTTTGTCTAATAATAAAGAGTTTCTATAATGTTTAGTCAGAGTTGGACTCATGCCTGTTTCCAGGAAGGTCAAAGCCTCAGGTCTCCCAGGACCACACCTGTGCTTCTTGGGGCACCCCAGGCCCAAGCCATGTCCATGGGACACACACGATCCCTCTCCCTGGCCCCACAGCAGTCCACACATGCCTTGTGAGCAAGTGCCCTTCGCCGCCCCCTTCCTCCAGCCCTGTCCCCGCCCTGTGTACCGGAAAGGATTCCCCTGTCCTGGCTGTACTGATAAATATGGAAACTCCATCTTTATTGGCTGTATAAACATCTCTGGTCTGTACATACATTTCATACATCATAGTTCAGGGCCTGAAGGGAGGGCCAAAGTGGAGGCCCCCGCAGTACAACAGCTCACTGCTTCCCCTAAAGCCCTGCCCACTCTCCCCAAACCGAGGCCTCCTCTCCCTCTTGGAAGTCACTGTGTGGGGAGGGGTCTGTGTTAAGAGGCTAGGAGACAGGAGGGCCTGGTGGGGGAGGACACGTGTGAGTGCTAGATCAAACACTGAAGCAAAACAGGCAACTGGCACAGGCAGCAAGCGGGGTGCGGGTGGGGCAGGGGAGCACGGGCTCTCACTGGGCTCTGGGGTCCTGCCCTCACCGTGTGGGAGAGAGAGGCTCTGGGGTCTCAACCTGCATCCTCAGGAACTAGAGACAAAGGTGCCACAGGTGAGCTGAGGAGGGCCAGAGGGAGACAGGAGCAAAGGCTCCATTCCCGGACCTGACAGCCCGTCTCACTCTACATGCCGTGGGCACCATCTACGTGTGTACAGCTGGGGGAGCTGGGTTCTCAGGGACCTGTAGTGCCCCAGCAGGTTGTGAGGGAGGGAGCTGGCTCTGTGGGGAGAGAAGAGAGGCCCTCAAGTAGTCTTCTAGGGAGAGCATTCAGTGAAGGAGAGCGAGGACCCTAGAGAGCCCCCCAGCCCAGCCAGGGGGTGACAGCAGCAACTGGTTCACACGACAACGAGGACGAGGACAGGGAACAGACGAGGAGGCGCCCCAGGAACACTGGTAAGCGGGGGAGGGGCTGTCCGGCTCCACCCTCTCAAGCCTCAGGCCCAACAGCAGCTGAGACAGAAGCACTCACTCCTCTCCCTTCACAGGTGCGGAAGCGGGACACGGGAGCCCACGGCCAAAACCGAGGGGGCCAGAGAGCAACACCACCCTTCCAGCCTGTTCCTGTCCAACCAGGGTCTCTCGCCCAGGGACTGATGACTGGGGCAGCCCCGGGCCAGAAACTGGGCATGGAGGAGCTTGGCAGGGGCCTGATCTGGTAGGGGCAGAGTGCTGACACACCCCCTGGGGCCTGCTGGGTAGGCAGATCCTCGGGAGTCAGGAACTGGGTACCTGGTTCTGCAAAGGGAGGGGTCAGAGGGGAGGGGCAGGTCCGGGGAGAAGGCCTAGCCACTCAGGGGGTGCAGATCCACTTTGACTTTTTCCCCACAGCTCAGCATCCCGATGGTGGGGAAGAAGCCCCCAGAAGGTACAACAGCATCCTTCTTCCCAATGATCTTGCCATTCCGAGTGAAGAAAACCTAGGGGTGGAGGAGGACAGTGGGATAGGCAGCAGGCTCTGCATGATGCTGGGGCTACACAGGCCTGAAGCCCATCCCTCCCAACTCCCACCACCGCAGGAGAGACAGAGGGCGATGCAGGAGGTGACCACGAGAGGGCGTCCAGAGGCCAGAAACCAGCCTCTCAACCAGCCTCCCCACTCAGCAACCCTGCGCCCCCTCCCCAGGTTCCGCCCTCTCTTCCGCAGGGACCCCAGCCCCAGCCCAGCCCCAGACCCCCGCACTCACCACCACCTTCTTGCCCTCGTGCTCTTGCTCTATCTCCTCCCCGTCATCCTCCTCTTCCTCCTCTTCCTCTTCCTCCTCCCCTTCCTGGTGCAGATACATGACATTCCGGACATTCCGCACAGCTCGGGCAGTCGGGGACAGGATCACTGTGTCACAGCTGTCATCGCTGTCACCTAAGAGGCCAGGAAACCTGAGCTCCTGCGGTTCTGCCTGTAGGACCCACCCAGTGCCCAGCCAGCCAGGTTGGGCACGGTCACCCCCACTCACCCTCACTGTCCAGAATGTAGTCCCGGGGGAACATGATTCCACAGCCCATTATGTCCCCTTTGTAACAGCGTGGCCCGAAGGGGTCCCCCACGCCGCTGCCATGAAAGATCTTCCCGTCGTCTGTTGGGAGGAGGGGAGACTACACGCATCTGCAGGAGGGGCTGATACCCTACACCCCCAGAGCGCGCCCCCGCTGGAAGCCCAAGTGTCCCTCCTTCCCTCTCTGGCCCCAAGGAAGGGAAGAGAGACGATGAGGGCACCAGAAGAGAGACACATCTGTCCCCTCAAAGGGCTGAGGGGGGAACTCCCTTGGGAGCTGGTCAGAGAGCGGAGAGGGGCCTCGGAGGGGAGGGAGAGGTGGGACCAGGAACTCAAGGCTCGTCCTTTCTAAAGAAAGCCCGCAAGGAAATCGAACCAGTCAAAGGAAGAAAATGCAGAATCTGCAGAAAGGGAGCAGAGGGAGCCAACTCAGAGGCCTGGAATGTCCAGCCTGGGCCCAGCTTCCCCACCCCTGTTCTGCTCCCCTGGCTTGTAGGGCTGGGAGGAAAAACAGGAGAAAGCGCTAGCAGCTTGGGAAGGGACAGCAGGGGGCAGCAGGGGAGAGTCTCTCAGGTCAGATGCTGGAGGAGAGGCCCCTCGTGCGGGGTCAGGAAAATGGGTGTCCCTGTACCCCATCCCCGCAGCCCCAGCTCCCCCAGCGCAGCCCCTCACGCACCTGCATGATAAGCCACAGACCCTCTGCTCCAGCCAGGGTGCCTGTTCTTGGGATAATCCTATGCCAGTGTGAAAAAAGGAAAGCTGTGGTACCACGCAGAAAAGAAGATGGGAGAGCGGCATCTGAACCCTCACCTTCTGGAACAAGCTACAACCCAGATGGCTGCTCCCACCCCAGCAGCCTCACACCTTCAAGCACTGGAGGTCGCGGGGGGTGGGGGCGAGTGAGAAGGTGCTGGGGTGCCAGAGTTGTGGGGTGCCCTCAGCCCCCATCTAGGCCCTGGTGTGTGTGTGGTAGGCTCACAACCCTCTCTCAGCCCTGAGGTGACTGGGGGTCTGTACCCTTACATAGACACATACGACCTTTTTGTCTCAGGTTAAGACCCCTCTCTGCAGCCTGGCCCCTTCACCTCCTTAGGAGCTCCCAGCTCTAGACCAGAAGCCCCAGAGCTGAGCATCCCCCCAGGCAGAAAGCCAGCATTAGTGCCCACCTTCCGGGCCAGCCCCAAGGCGATGTAGCATTTCTCTCCAGGGTCCACGATCTCCACCTCAAAGTAGTGGCTACGCGTGCTGAGTGGGCGCCGGGCCTGGGCCAGCCCCACGTCCACGATGCTCTTGCCCTTGCCCAAGTACTCCAGCAGCTGTGGGGAGAAAGCCAGAGGTGGGGGCAAGGCTGACACCCCCCATGGAAACCTGGTTCCAAGGCTGTCTGGGGACCAGTTTCCTGTCTCTCACAGAAAGCCCAGCTGAAAGGGAAGTGGTGCTGGAGGCAGAAGGAGAGACTCAGTGTTCCCAGCAGGCAGGGGAGAACAGGGATGGGGCGGGTGACTGGAGGTGGCAGCAGGAGCAAGAGGGCTGAGCCCCTACTGAAGACTGCACCCACCTGCCTACTGAGCCAAGGACGCTTTCCTCGCTGTGGGGAGACAGGACAGCAGCCCCAAGATCCCAACAGCTGGGCGCCAGGACCACACAGGGCTCTCTCGGCCATCACTTCCCTCGGTCACCCTGCCTGCTCAGGAAAGGGCCACCCAGGGGCCCTGAACACAGAGAAGAAGAGAAGCGAAGGCCAGGCTAAGAGGAAGCCTGACGGTTTTCTCAGGGTGCCTCAGGAGGCCGGGAGGCCAAGGAGAATGCGGAGGTTAGGGGCCAAGTCCAGACGTCTGGGGGAGGGGAGACAGCTCAGAAGCCAGTTCTGCCTGGGATGGGACTGATACGCTTCTCAAGGTCTTTGTTGTACTTGGCTTTGAACAGAGCTGTTTGTAGCCCGGTTGGGGAGGTGCCGGGGAGCCAGGACCAGGTCTGCTCCTGCATTCAATGTAAGGGGTTGGGGGGGACAGGAAGAGCAGGGCTAGAAAGGCAGGCATTCCTGCTCCCAGCCCCTTGCGGCTCTTTTAAGCTGGAGCAGGGGTGTGGAGGGGAGCTGACTGATGGGCTCCTGGGGCTCCTCAGCCCCACGGTGATCCTGCCTGGGCAAGACGGGGCGGCAACCCCCAATCTGGGAGGATTTATTTATCAGTTGTCATAGTAATAGTGGGGCTGTGACTCAACCCTGTCCCCTCTGTCCCCCACCCTCAGCATCACCTGGGATTCCTTAATCCCTTTTTAATTAGCCAAACTGCCCCTCAAGACTTTCTTCTACCCTCCCACCCTTCTGGCCCTAAAGAAAACTCACTCCCTGGGGACCTCCTCCACTTCTCCCAGGCAAGCCTTGGGACACTGGCCTCTCACCCCTCAAAGAACTCCTGCCTGAACAGGAAAGGCATCAAGCTCACTGGCACCAGCGCCCAAGCCTCCGTGTGTCTTCAGCGGAGGGAGAGGCCACATCCTCACCACCCCTTCAGGGAGGCACTGGCCCCTCCTCACCCTGGATCCCCGAAACCCTGGCACCGCAAGTCCATCCTCCCCTCCACCCCAGACAACCGCAGGCAGGCAGGGGACAGGGGCACCAAGAGAAAAGCTGGAGGTGTGCGGCAGATCACTGGACCTTTCTCCCCTCCTTCCTCCAGCCAGGACTGTAAACACTTCAGGGCACCCTGGTTCCGCGATGTCACACTCCTAGCCCAAGTCTCCATTATCTCACACTGCATTCTTCCATCAGAAAGAGCTCCCCTGCAGGTGGTCTAATTTATTGTAAAGGCCCACCCTGTCTAAGTTCTACTTCTGGTCCTCTGGGTGGGCTCGGCTCAGCCTGAATTCCTCCACTGTCTCTCTCCCCACAAGGCCGGTGGTGGGTGTGTGGGGTTATGGGTCTGAAGCACATTAACTAGCATGGACTCCACCCAGTCTGAGCAGCCCCCAGCCCACCCTCTCCTCTGCATTGCCGAACTGGGTGGGGGACCCCACAGCTGCCCTTGACCCACGGCATCCAACTGGCCTCAGTGTAGGAAACACAGTGTTCTCCATTCTCAGAGCCAAAAGACAGCGGATCCAGATCCTGATCCTTGGGAAAAACCCGCCCAACCATTCCCTCTGCCTCGGCCCTGAGGAGGGCAGGCTGCCTTTTTGTCTACGGAGAGGGTGGGGAGGCTTCCTTAAGCTACAAGGCCAGGAGGATGAAACACACTAATGCAACACACTAATTCGGGGCTCTAAAATTTACTCCCCACCCTGCAGGACAGCTCAGAAAGCACAGCGGCTCACCGCCCAGAAGCCTGGGTTCCTTGCCCAGTCAGGAGAGGAACCACCACCTGCATCTCCAAAAACCAGTGACAAAGTGAAGTGAGTGCCAAGGGCTTAGTCTGAGCCCGGCAGGTGATAAATGCACACGTCGGCCTTTCCTGAACTCAGGAAATGGGGTTTATACTAGAATACCCCAATGTTCCAATGCTCCCTAAACATTAACAATCGTCCCAAAGCTACAACAGACTGAAACTGCCAATCACAAAGAAGGAAAGGATCTTTCATCTCAGCCCTTACTCTCCTCCCCCAGCACCAGAACGGCCCCTGAGGCTCTCAGGACTGGTCACTGTTTCCCTAGGATACTCCCCAGATGACTCCGCCCAGATGACCAACTGTCTTCCTCCCAAGGCTTTCTCCTCAAACAATGCCCCTATCAACATCTTTGGTGGGGTAGGGGAACTCGTTCCTTAAGGCTCCCAAGACCCCCCTTACCTTCCTCTACACACAACAGAAGCTTTGAGAGGCCAAACAGTTCACCCCCAAGAGCAGAGGCTGCAGACCAGGGTGCAGAGAGCCTCCTGCACCCCACCCCTCCCTCATAGGCAGCACCTACTCTTTGCCTCCTATCCTGCTGAGACCCGCCCTTGCCAGACCCTAATCCCTCTTGACAGGATCAGGGGAGGGCTCAGTGCCCCAGGGCCTAGAAGCAGCTGAAACACAAACCAGGAACATGCCTCCCACCGGCCAGCTCAGGCCCCAACAGGTCTTCTCCTGGGTTGGGTCTGGGGAGGACCCCTGAGAAGGTGGGGCCTCATTCACCCCACTTTGTGTATGAAAGCTGCTGCCCTGTCACTAAGGAATTGTCAGAGGAGCTGTGAACAGAAACGAGGAACAAAGACAGAATGAGTGTAACCCCCAGCCCTGCCGACTGACCCTCGCCCTCAGCATGTCACCTAAGCACACTGCGCAAGGCCTGGGGATGAGGATGAGGGGCAGCCTCCCCCATCTTGGCGCCAACATTGCAACAGCAACTCTTCAGCATCCCAGAGCTCTGGGAAGGGCGCGCTCTCTAGGAGGGGAAAGTAAGGCAACAGGAAGCAGGGAAAGACTGCCCTCTGGAAAGAGCCAGGTCTGTCCATACATAGATCCTCAGATCAAACAAACACAACTAAATATTAACAACTGTTAATCTAGGTAGTGGAGACCCAGTGGGTGTTTACTGTGCTACTTTTTCAGCTTTTCTGTATGTTGCAAACTTCTCAGAATGAATTGTTAGGGTTTAAAAAAAAAGTCTGGAGTTGAAGTCTCTTTTCTGTCTGGGAAGAATCAGTGAGAAAGGATAACTGAGACTATAAAACTGAAAGAAAGACAGAAGTAAAAGCCTTCCAAGGTGGCCAAGAAGACTCACCTAGGAAGCCCCTGGCTAATGACACTAGACAGGAAAGTCTCTGGGAAAGTGGGCTTAAGCCCAGGAACTCTGGACTCATCCTGTGAGAAGGGGGCAAGAGAGACTGGTTACAGTAGAGTGGGCCTGGGTAGAGGGCAGCATATATCAGAGAGTGGGAAAGATGGGGGGAGGGGTCACAGAAGGAATATCTAGGCTTAGTTCTGTTACTAATTCACTGAGACATTTGATCAAGTCTCTCTAATTTTCTCTGGGACTGTTTTCTCAGCAGTACAAGAGGATACGTGGGAATGTGCAGGCAGTCACACAGCTGGGGGGCGGGGGGTGTGGTTTGAGGAGCTACCAGCATCTTGGGTCTTGGAGCCAGGGATGCTAAACATTCTGCCCATTGAGAAACTGTCTCACTTAAGAGGCCCACAGTCTCCACACTGAGAAACCTGGGCGGGATGGCATCAAAGCCTGCCCCAGGCCACCCCAGACTTTTATGGTTCCACAGGGTGCTCCCCTGGGAACATCATCAGGGCAGGAGAAACAGGCTGAAACCATAGCAGAGGTCGAGGTCCCTGGGAAGGGCTCCGCACAGAGGGGGACGTAAAAACAGGAAGGGCAGAGGGGAGAAGCAGCTGCACTAGACATCTTTAGAAACAGGAGGCACAGGCGCAGCCCAGTGACCTCTCCCAGGCTCCTGCAAGCTGACACTCGGATCACCAGATCGGAAATACAGTGGATGGTCAGAAGGGACACGAAGGAGGCGGCCAGGAGGCAAGAGTGGGGATGGCGGGTCAAAGGGCTAAAAGAAACTGGGTAAGTCACCCTCACTTGAAAGATGGGGCAAGAGTAGAAGAGACGCATCCCTCAAGAGGCTCAGGTCCAAGGCAGCCCCAGAGGAACAAGTATGCAGGGAACAGCATGCCTACCCTGCCAGCTCTCCCTAGCTGGGGTTGGGGCTTAAGAAAAGAGTTAAACTCAATAGCTTACATCTAAGAAAGAAAAAAAATTCTTAAATGTGTGGCCTGAGGGCACTGGGGGAGGGGCAGAGAGGAAGGCAGGCTATTTATAAACATCTACAGGATTCACATCAATTAGAAAAGACTGCCTGGGAGGAGCAAGGAGCGGAGTGGGGCCAGGTCCAGGCAGGGAAAGGTGCCAGGAAAACTTGAGGAGAGGTCAAGGGTGAGAGCTGGAACATCGCCCTGGCTCAGCCCCAACTTCAGCTCTGTAGATGTTGTCAGAATGATGGTGGAAGGGGAAAAGAAAGAAGAGAGGAAGATCAGGGAGTGGGCATCTGAGGCCTCCGGGCTGGTGGCCACTGCAGTCCCTGGACCCCAGGGCCAGAAGGGGGTGCAGAGTGTGAGAAGCTGCAGGAGTGCACGCTTCCTACCGTTTTCCCTGGATTGGACGCACCTTGCACTCCAGAAATGGAGAGCCTTGCTCTTAACCCACTCCCACCCCCCCACTGCTTCTGTTTTGCTATGAAAGGCTGAGTTAAAAACAGCCTGTCTTGGGGTGCGAAGGCCAGAGGGTGGAGGAAAAGGTTGAGCCAGGGGCGGGAGGGCAGCAGAGGGACAATTCCAAGTGGGAGGCCTGAGCAGTCCACTAGAGGTCAGGGCCAGACCCCTGACTCAGCAGCCATCCACTTCCAAGCTAGCATGAGGCACAGAGGGTAAGTATGAAGAATTTCCTTCCCTCGAGGTCTATACACTTCCCAACCAAGTTTAAAATCTAGTCAGGGGACTAACACAGGTATGATGGGTGTATGAAAAGGCCAGCTTTGGAGGGTCAAGGACTCTCACTGAATCATCATTCGCCTCCATTCTCATCCTCTATTAAATGTAGGAAGGCCGAAGAGACTGACATGGATGCTTACTCAAAAAAGATTTCGAAGAACCTCTCCCAGCGCGAGTAGGATTTACGACGACATCTGTCCCTCATTGCGGTGGGTGGAAAGCTGGGCCAGCTGGGCTGGGTTCAAGCCAAAAGGGAGGTCCAGGCACCCGGCCTCTCCAAAGTCAGCCCAGCCTCTCAGAGGCAGACAGACGCACAGGGCAGCAGTGTGCACTGCCCTGGGGGCTGAAGGAACCAAAGAAGGCAAAGGAGAGCCACTGCTTCTCCCAGGGTTGAGCGATGAGCCTGAGCTCTCAAACAAAAGGGCAGGTGGGAAAGGAGGACCAATGCTAAGAGAACACAGACCTGGACTCAAGGATCATGTCGGGCTGCCAGGCACTCCTGCCCAAATTCTCACTTTCCAAAACCCTACAGAAGACACTGTCTTCACTGCCTATCCTAAGCAATCCTAAGAGCCTGAGAGCTGGGGCCCCTAGAGCTCCCCCGGCACCCTCTGCCTACCACCCCTTACTTACGGTTCCACAGACTCGGACGTCATGTAGCCGGCCCCACTCATCCTCGTAGCTGTCCACCATCATGACGCTGTCATCCTCACGGCCCAGCTCAGCGTTGAGATGCAGCCGCACCTCCTCACCCAGTGAGTGCATGCCCACTGCCGGAAACAGCCCGTCCGGGGACATGGGCATGATAGTGGAGCCCACCTGTGTTGTTGGGAGGTAAGAAAGGAGGGAGCTGCCGCCTTGCTCACTTTTCCTACGACTCATCCAATCCTCACAAGGGGACTTTTGAGAATGATGCAACCAGGCATCATCACACACGCTGACAGGAGAGCAGAACAAAGGTACAGAGAAGTTTTTAAAAAGCTGCTGAGCATTCCTGGCTGAGCAAGGAATCCACAGAGCTAGAAGGCAAACTCCAAGTCTCTCAACGTGCCGCCAAATACTTTTGGTACATGTTGAGTGTGGACTGGAGCAGGAAGAGAGCTTAGGATAGATGCTAAAGGAGAAAAACCCCTCAGTGGAGAACTGAGAAAGCGATTTCCCTGGGCAGGAGGTGGGGCTGGGGAGGAAAAGGAAGACAGCCCGGGTCTCTCCTATGTGCTCTTATCCCAGCCCTCCACCATCACTAGCCTTTGAAGAGGGAAGGAAAGGAGAAGTGAAACAAGGAACACAAAACACAGAAAAGACATACCCTCAAAAGCATTCAAGTCAAAAGTCCCAAGACAACCTCCAGCTTACAGAGCCAGGCCATAAACTCTCCCTCTTTTTGCCTGCTCAAAACCTTCCCCCACATCACCCCATTCTGTCCCCCACAAATCCTGCCCCTCCTCCACTGCATAAACTTGTCCCTCTGTGTCTACCACCTGGGGACAGTCCCAGCTTCCCCTGGGTGAGGGGAGGGTCTTCTACATGCAGGAGAGCCCAGGAGAATTTAAGACTGAACTAAAGAAGATGGGAAATGAGCCTAGGGGGCCCTGGGCCAGTCCCAGCCAGCAGACTCTTTCACAGCACTCACACAAGTCCCTGGACAGCTTAAAGCCATTTAAATTCCACTCAGGATGTCCCACTTACCCGCTTCCCATTTTTAGTGAAGAAGATCTGGGCAGTCTGCACATCAAAGGACACTGGCTCAATGCCACAACCAATCCGGTCCCCAGAGTTGCACTTTGACCCAAACTGGCGACCCTTGGCTCGGCCATTGTAAAGCCTGTGGACAGGGCGGAACAACACTCGATCTGAGCCTGGCCTCCCAACTTCTCCCTAGTGCTCCTGCTCCCGATCACTCTGGAACACCATCTACCTGCGTCCTTGGATGAGCTCCACCCTCCCCTTTGAGTCTGCAAACCTCCAAGGAGAGTCAACAGGCCACCTTCCTGACCTGGTCAGAAAAATCTATGAAAACACTCCAAAACCAGTGAAAGTGAAGTCGCTTAGTTGTGTCCGACTCTTTGCAACCCCGTGGACTGTAGCCTACCAGGCTCCTCCGTCCATGGGATTCTCCAGGCAAGAATACTGGAGTGGGTTACCATTTCCTTCTCCAGGGGATCTTCCCGACCCAGGGATCAAACCCGGGTCTCCTGCATTGGAAGCAGACGCTTTAACCTCAGGAATGGCCAAAGCCACCCTGAGGTAGTCCATTATATCTCAGACTCCCAAGTCCGCAGAAAGGGTGTTGGGTGCCACAAGAGGCAACTCACTTGCCATCATCAGCATGGTAGGCCACAGAGTCAGGCAACCAGCCAGGCTGGTGATCCAAGCTGTAGTACTGAGGAACCAGTCCCACAGCAATGGTGCCCCGGACCCCACTGTCCACAATCGACACCTGGAGGGAGGAGAGCAGGACACAGTTAGCACAGTGGGGAACAAACATCAAAAGGGGTTGAGGCTCAAAGAGCCAGGATACAGGGGAGTCAAAGAGAAAGGGCACCCAGAGGGAAAACTGGGGAAAGTGGGGGCCCACTTTATCACAATTACTTAGAAAATTATTTCCAAGCCATGGAAAAAGATAGGAGATGGAGACGCTGGGCTTGGGTGAGGGGGTGAGAAAAGATATGGGTCAAATTCTACCTAGGTGAAGGACAGGAGAACTGAAGGGACAGGGTGACAGGACTCTACGGTGCCTCTCAGATTAGGCATCATGATATCCTGGGCCCTATTCCCAGCCAACAGGATAATCCTGATGGAAAGTTCAAAGAACTAGGTCAAGAATCCAGTAAAAGAGCTCCCTGGATCTAAACCATTTCACCCCCTACTCTGCCCACCCATAGCCTCAATCACCTCAAAATAATTGCTGTCCTTTGTCAGGGGTCGAGAAGCCACATAGCAGCCAACTTCACCAGAGTTTCCATGGTAACTGAAGGAAAAATGGAGAGGGAGGTCCATTAGCATCCTAGCCCAGGAATTTGGGGGAGCACCTTAGTGTCCCCAGCCCCAACCCTGTGAGGGCCAGCAGAGAGGAGAATCCACCTGGTCACAAGGGACATCTGCACAAACACCATAACAAGATACTTGAGGTCACCCGCTGCCTTCAGCAAGGGTCCAACCCATACCAGATCACTGTAAGCCAGGCTTACTCACTGCCAGTGGGGAAGAGGAGGCAGAGCCTCCCGCAGTTGCCTATTAGGCGGTCTCACACCCTGTCTAACCTCAATCCTTCATGCTGCAGCTTCAGCCCTTTTCCTCTGGCTCTGTTCTCAGTGGAGTTTGAGAATGGCTAGTCTCCATCCTCTGGACCAAAGCCATTCATTGATTGAAAGAGTTAATCACTCCCTACTCCTCAACTTTCTTGTTTCCAGGCTAGACAGCACTACTTCTGTCCCTCTTCCAGTAACAACTCTGTGAGAGAATTAGGTTCCAACGGACTCAAGGGAGAGTTTCAAGCCAGAAAACAGAGAGAAAACAAACACACAAACCAAAGGATTGGAAGGCAGTGAGCAGGATGCACTGCAGGGCCATCCTTCCCAAAACAGGAAGTCCACTACCTTTGAATTGGTCATTCTTTCACCAAACACAACTCAAGAAATGCAGGCAGGAGACCCAGGCACCGCACAGATTCACTGGAGTCCTCTCGACAAGACAGTTGGGCAACTCCTAAGACCCCAGCAGCCTCCATCTCTGACATGACTGCTTCCCACACAGACCAGGACAGAGGGACCCAGAGACACAGGCAGAGAGAGTTACAAGGTGAAGCAGCACACACTGCTCCATTCAGAAAGGCCTCCAGAGTCCACTGCATCCCCACGCAGTGTAGACAGCTGTCTGCTTCTGCAAAAGCCCCTTTCGTCTCTAAGACCTGGCACAGAAAGGAAAATAAGGAAAATGTGAAAGCTCTCCCTGAAACTCACCTCAAAGTGTCTCCATCTACAAGAATATGCTTGAACCTTTCCTGATATCGGAAAGCCCGGACCTCTCGAATCTCCCGGATCCGCCGGCGCCAATTCAGAAACCGGTAGTGCAGGTTGAGGTCATCCATCTTGTTCATGAGAACAAACCTGCCAAGGGGGAGAAGGGACTTGAGGAGGAGGAAGCAGGGCCCTGAGCACCTTGGCTGGTTCTACCCAGAATGCAGAAAGGACTCTAGACTTGAAGCCAGTTGCCTAGATTGACCTTAACAATCCCCACCCTCATCCTTTTATTCAGCAAACATTTACCGAGCTCCCGCTATGTGCTCCTGCTGTCCAAGGTGCTACGGATACAGCTGTGAACAAGACGGATGAGCTGCCTATTCTCATAGAGCTTCCATTCTACCAAGGGAGACATGACAGACAATAGACAGACATGACAATGTTAGACAGTGCAGGAACAAGCAGAGTGACGTGATGAAAGAATAACGAGTTGAACTCTATGAGATGAAAAGGTGACTGGCATGTGACAAGCCCAAGAAAGAGCATCCCAGGCAGAGGGGACAGCCAGAACACAGGTCCTGAGGTGCAAGGCAGCTGGCATGATAGGAAATAGAAAAAGGATAGGTGACTGGTGTGCAGGGAATGTGAGGCAGAAAAAAAATGTATCAGAAAAGGATGGAAGGAAGGTAGGGGCCAGATCAATGCTCTACAGACCACGTTAAGAAGTTTGAATTTTATTCCAAGTATGATGGGAAAGCTCTGGAGGGTTTTAAGCAAGGAAATGATATGTTTCTAAGGCTTATCTGATTGTAAAAATTATTCAGGCAGTTGGCTGGAGACTAAACTCATCACAAGATGAGCAAAACAGAGTGGCAAACAATTAATGAGGAGACTGCTGCTGCTGTTCTAACGAGAGATGGCATCCACAAAGATGGTAGTAGGGAAGATGGAGAGGAGTAGGATGACCCAGGTATTTAAACCACCAACAGTGCTAATGCATAGGTGAATGAATTTTCCCCCAAGTGACAAAAAGAGGAGTTACTTTCTCTTCCCATATCCGAAACCCTGAGACAAGGGTTCCATCAAGGCCTGACAGTGTCCTGCACACAGTAGGGGCTTAGGAAGCTGACTAGGCTAAATTCACTCCCCATGCGCATATTTACAAGCTTCTGCAGTAGCCGCAAGCCACTGCGTGGCTCAGGAAGGTAGGCACCTGCGGGGTAGCTCTAGGACTGGCCTCCTCGGCTCTCGGCCAGGGCTCGATCCCAGGTTGATGCTGGCGCCCCAGACCTAGGGACATCTGCTTGCCTAGAATCCCATAGCCTTGGCACCAGCGAGAGGAGGCCGCACCGGGCGCCGCCTCCACCCGGATCACGCGGAGGAGACCCGGGGGAAAGGAGCACTGGCCCGTCAGTGTGACTACGCCCAGACTCCCCAGGCCCTGCACTGGGCCGAGAAGGGTCCCCAGAGAGGAAGCCCAGCAACCAGAGCGCAAGGCCCCGCCCCTGACTCCGAAGCCTCCGCCCAGGACCCCCGCCTCCCGCCTCCCGCCTCAGGCTCGGTGGAGACCGACCCGAGGCCTCCGGGACCCCGCCCCCGATCCCCGCCTACCGGGGCCGCCGCGTCCTCCTCATCCATAGGCCTCTCAGCTCCGCACACTAGCTCTTCGGCCGCCGCCACCACACACATCCGGGTCCCCGCCCTTCCTACGCTTCCCCAGCCCCGCCCCTTTGCACACACTCCGGCCAATCTGCAACGGCCGAGGACGACAGGCACCTGCAGGAGCCAATCGAAGGACGCAGGCCGGACTGGGCGCGGCCCGGTGAACCGGGTACCTAGCGCCGGGTAGGGGCTGGTAAACCCGGGTGTCGAGAGGGTGGTAGGCGGCGACGTGGCGGCCGGGACACCGCACTGGGAGCCCCGGGCGCTGACTGGCCGATCAAGGGGCGGCTCCCACCCCGGGCGAGTAAGGTCGCTGCGTACCCACAAATACTGTGACTATTCCCTCAGCGCCAGTTCCGTGTCAGACGTGATGCTAAGAGCTCTGTAGGAATGTCCTTATGAAATGAGTCTTATAATTAAATCCTGTTTGCGTGTGCAGAGCCTGAAACTGGTCTCCATAACGCGTGTGCCTGTTACCATATGTTTTCTATTCTCCAGAGTTATACCATTACCGTGTGCTTTATATTCTCTCGAGCTCCATTTCATGTCACCTTGCCTTCATTCTGGGCAAGGCATTCCTACCAGAAGAAAACTTCGAATGTAAAAAGCAGAGGGATTGGTGTGACTTAAGGAAAGTTACGCTGGGACCATAATGAATAGGGAAGATAGATATGGTACTGACCTTTATCGCACACCTACTGGAGGGTGATTATTAGCCATTCTGGGGAGGACTTTCCCCATTTCCTCCCATTACCAAATTTCTCTTTTCCAGGTAGGAAGGTTTTTTTCCCCTCCTCTGTTTTTTGTGGGTTTTTTTTTTTTAAGTCTTTATGGAATCTGTTACAATATTGCTTTTATGTTTCGGTGTTTTGGCCATGAGGCATGTGGGATCTTAGCCCCCCTTTCCGGGATGGAACCCACAGGCTCTGCGTTGGAAGGTGAAGTCTTGACCACTGGACCACCAGGGGACATCCCCCCCTCCCCGCCCTGGTATTCTTATACCATTTTCTTTGCACCTCATTTACAGCACTTATTACAGTCTTACTTTTACTATGAAAATAATCTATGTGTGTAGATGTCTCTCTGCTCAAGTGTGGGCTCCTTCTGACTCCTGGGAGCTATCCTATTCTTATCATAAAGAGGTGCTCTACAGATGTTGAATGAAATGGAAGCCATGCTCTCCTATAACATAAACAGTAGCCACTTGGCATAATGGAAATAGGTGTCAGAAATAGATGTAGGCCGGAAATTAGGAAATCTGAATTAGAACCCCAGATCTGTGACTAACATTTACTTGTCATGTTTCCTTAGGCTCCTTAATCTGGGACAGTTATTCAATCTTTCCTGAAAAATAGATGCCAATTATTTTGTATAATGTCCTTCATTTTCACTTTATCTATCATTTTACTCATTATTAGATTGAGGTTATACATTAACAACTTTATTCAGATCTATGAGTAATTTTAAATTAATTTTTGTGTATGTTATGAGGTATAGATGAAAGTTCTTTTTCTTTTTTTACACATGGAGATCCAATTGTTCCAGCAGAATTTGTTGGAAAGATTGTCCTTTCTCTACTGAATTCCTTTGCACCTTTGTCAAACATGTATTGAAAAACTGTTATTAAAAAAGTCTTTCGGGGACTTGCCTGGTGGTCTAGTGGTTGGGACTCCATGCTTCCAGTGCAGGGGGTATGGATTCAATCCCTGGGTGGGGAATTAAGATCCCACATGCTACGGGGTGTGGCCAAAAATAAATAAAATTTTAAAAGTCTTTAAAAAAAAGAAATCATTAGCTATATTCTTGTAGGTCTATTTCTAGACTCTCTGTTCCACTGATCTTTTTTTTACCTTTATGTTTTTATTATTATAATTTTATAATAAGTCTTGAAATCAAGTAGTATAAGTCTTTCAATTTTGTTCTTTTTAAAAGTTGGTTTGAGTTACTCCAGGTCCTTTGCATTTCCTTATGAGACTATCAGTTTGCCCATTTCTACCAAAAAAGCACTCTGGGAATTTAATTGGCATTACACTGAATCTATTGATCAATTTTGGGAGAACTGACTTTTTAACAATATGGAGTCCACTCCACGAGGATTGTACTGATATCTTCCACTCTAATCCAGTACCACAGGGCTGATTCTACCCTTCCTCCCTACTTCTCTGTAACTTCTCTCTCAAGAGAAACCCAATACCCATTACTTATTTGCTCCACCCCAGTCTACACTGAGCAGTTTCAAAATTTTTAATCCATAAGCCCATGAGAAACAAATTTATCAGCTAGAGTACAGTGTTTATGTAGCGTACAGAGCGTGCCATTCCATTTATCAGTAGCCTTACAGTTTCCAGTCGAAACACTGTTTTCCAAAGTTACATAGGTCAGCGCCTTTTTTCCCCTCACCACCTTAGTGTGTTTGTGTCATGCATGTATAATATAGTTAGATTTACCTGTTACAGTCTGCATTCTATCCTGGAATACCCTGGATATTGATTCAATCAGTATCAATCATCCTGTTTGATTTTTTAGGTATTAAGCATGTGTTGGATGGACAGATACTAATTCTAAGCTCCCTGTGAACACAGTTCCTCCTTAATTATGTCCATGTCATATAGTTATATCCACATAAATGCTCTATCAATCTATTGATTTTTATTCATGTAATTATAAAAAAAAAGCAAACTTCAGACCTGCAGTTATTACTCCTTCTTCACTAATGATTCCCAGTTCCTAACCATCTGGCTAACTCCAGCCCAGTCTAGAAAACTTCTCTGCTCCCTTTCTAGTTCACCTTTCTCTGGTATAACTGGGACACTGGGAATCTAGGCAGAACAAGTCATGCACACACACCCGCTACATGACTCTATACTCTCATACCTCTTACACAAAGATGTGCTTTTCTGAGACAGCCTCCACCCTTCCCTCTCTTCAACCTATCTTAACCTATATTTTCTCCTAAATTCTATTTTATAGACCTATTCTCCAGGAAACCCTCTTTGATTTATCCTGGGGCCAGGTTTCCCTCTCTTATTGAACCCTGACCACACTCAGTTTCCTTGGCCTTTACTCTGAGAACAACAGGAGGGATAGGGAAAGTGAGAGGAGGGACTGAGAAAGCCAAGAGCTGCTCTGGGTCGCCTGGGCTAGCTCAGAAGTATAGAAGCACCAGTGGAGCCTCCAGAGAGTTACAGTGTACCCCCTTCACCTCTCAAGGCCCTCCCCCAGGACTGCCTTTGTTCTCACCCAAAACAACAACCTTTACTTGTATCAATTCCAAAGATGAGCTACGAGCTGGGGGTCCAGAGATGAAGAAGGTATGGGGCTCTTATTCTCAAAACACTCATAATCTAATTGGAAAAATAAGACACAGAAAAGATAAGCAGATATTTAAGACAGCAACACAATAATATGGATGAATTCAGAGAAAGGCAGACCACTGGCCAAGCAGGTGGGGAAGAGATGGCAGAATCTGGTCTGTAGTAGGAGGAGTGGCAGCGGGGAGTTTCATCCTTATGAGCTGAAGACTTGCAGTCCAGATTACCTCTGAGCATCACACCTTCACCTCCCCTAATCTCAGTTCAGACTCAGAGATAAGAAACTGCCAAGGGTGATCCCACCAACTGGTTGAACCAGAGTGTGCTTCCAGGGCCGACTGTCCACCGGATCATGATTGCCATATGGCAGCACAGGTCCATGGGCAGGGAAGAAGGGCATAGGTACCACCAAAGGCATTTGAGGAGGAGAGAGCCACAGGAGCAAGACCAATTGGGAGGCTGCATGTGGGACAGATGGCAGAAATCAGAGGCTGGAGACCATCTGCGGTTATCACAACAGTTCCCATCAGACCCATAGCAGACTTAGGCCACATCATGATGTGGTCATTTAGCCATCTCTCTGGGGGCTTTCGATCTGTAGACTGTGCAACCACTTGCCTTTCTGCAGACTCAACACTCAAAAGGATCCAGGCAGGCCTTCTCCTTTACCCCTCGTTCTCAAAAGGAAGTTAGCACTTGATGGTGCTGTGGGTTTGGATGAGAGGAGGAGGACAGAGTGTAACCTGTAAGAGAAGGAGGAAGTCCTGTCAAAGTTTATTTATAAAAAGCCTAAGTAACAGCCCAAGCTGTCTAGCCTTTTCACAGCCGTGACAGAAGCTTCCTGGTCCCAGCGGTCTGTTTTGACCCACGCTCCATCCTGAGCACTTACTGAGACCTTCAGACCTCTGCTCTGGGTGCTAAGGTGAAGGGCATCCCAAAGGGAGGAAAGCAGAGTTTGAGAGTCTCAGTCTGCAAGGAAGAGCCTAGTTAGATCTCAGCACTGGAAGCACACAGCTCTGGACACCTAGGCCGGAGGCAGGGGGAAGAGGGAAGAGCAGTGCTGGGGAGGCAGGAGGGACCGGGCTGCTCAGGGCTGTGCTAAGGCTACGGGCGGGGCAGGACCCAGCCGGGCAGTGGAGTATAACCAGGGGAGGTCTGTAGCAGTGATGTAGGAGGGTGCATGGGGGAGCTTGGGAAGGGAGCAGTGGATGTGAGAGGCCAGCAGAGTACTGGGCTTCTGTGCAATATAATCTGCAAAATCACTTTACCCAAACTTTTAAAAGCCACGCTGAGATCCTGCAGGGAGCGGGGCCATCTCTTTCCCATCCCAACTTTCCACAGAATTTTCCGTCTTATTCAAGAGTAACAAGGTGGAGTCAGGAGAAAAGCCCTAGCCAGAGACATGTACTGGGCAAAATCAATAGTGATAAGAATGGAGGGACAGGATGAAGCACACTACCCTGGGGTCAGAGCTTGAAGCAGGAGGCCCCAGAGCCTCCCAGAGTAGAGGAGAGCTGCCCCTCCCCACTGCCCCAGCACCGTCCTCCCTGCCTGCCCAATCTGCGTCACTGTCTCTGGGCTACTGGAAGATACTGCTTCCAAAATGTCCTAGGGTCCTAGGGCAGCCCTGTGGGGAGGGTGCTGGAAGTAACTTTTTTTTTTTTTTTCCATTTACCGAAAAGTTCAGGAAGCTCTTGCTGACATTCTTGCTTGGGGGCCCAGAATTTAAACTTAGTCACTGCCCAGAGCCCTTGTTTTAGGAAAGAATGAGATGGCCAGTGTTGCGTAACCCAGAGCTGTGTGGGTGGGGGTTGCAGAAGGAAACGGTCCTTCCTCCCTCTAGGAAGGAGGCTCAGCTAGGAGTTCTGGGGATGGGCAGGGTACTGCCTGGGGAAGGGAGGCCATGGGTGGGGGAGGTGGGGTGGACAGACCAATGGAGTGAAAGCCCAGGAGAGCAGGCTGACCCAAAACACTCAGCCCCATCACCGTCCAACCTCCCTTGGCATAGAACAGCCTGAATAATCCAGAAAACCCAATGGATGATACTGGGTGGGGATGGAATGGGGGCCAGATTCTGGGAAAGGAGAGGAATGGAGGGGTGGGCTGACTTGGATGAAGGACAGAGATTGGTTGAGGTCTGCTGTTTGGCCACTGTCCCTTAGAGCAGCCAGAGTATGGGTTCCTCTACCTCCCCACCCCAACCCCCCATAATTTCAGCTGGTCAGTCACCCATCCCTACCTCCCAGGTGTTCAGCCAGTTCTCCTGTTGCCACACTGCGGCCTTGCTGCCTCCCCCCCACCATGCCCCACAATCCTCCCAGACTCTTACGGCCTCAATCTAGTCCGAGGATTTCTGCCAGTTCATTCAATGTGTACCCCCGCCCCCCCACCGTCTTCCAGCATTCCAGCACCCTACCCAAGTCTGGCCCCATCACCTGCCTTCCCCTCAGTCACATCTCAGGGAAACTTTCTCTTGGTCCTCCCTCGGCTTTGCTCTTCCTCCCCTCGCCCTGGGTTTACTCTCTCCCAGCAGCAGTCGATTCTCCCAAGACCCCACTTCTCCGTCGTCTCCGCCTTTTCTCTCTTTTCTTCGCCCACGTCCCCCTCCCGACCCCCACACCACCCCTTCTCCGTCCCCTTAAGTCCGCCATCTTCTCCCTCCCCACCGGAGTCCCTGGGTCTCCTTCGCCCGCCACACACACGCCCGAACGGGCTTTCAGGTTTCCCCTTCATCCCAACTCCGGTCCTCTCCCGCTTCCACCACTTTCCACCCTCCAGGGCCTCCAGCCAGCTGTCCAGCTCCCAAATTCCGGGCGAGATTCCCGGGAACAAAGCAAGAAAAATCGGAGTAATTTGGGAAGAAAACAGAAACTGGGAAGGGAGGAGGTAGAGAAGAGTGGGGAGGACCCAGGTGGAGGGGGGGCCTCTCCAGTCCCACCCAGTTTAGGGGATGCCCCTGCCTTCTCCACACGCCCCCCCTTCACCTGGCTCTTAAAGGGCCCGGCCCCTGCCGGCGGCTACTTAAGGCAGAGGGGCGGCGGCGGGCAGCAGCTGCGCTACGACTGCTCTGGGAGGAGCGGACGGGGCAAAAATCCTGACCATGACCCCCCACAGGCTGCTGCCGCCACTGCTGCTAACTTTGCTGCTCGCTGCCCGCCCAGGAGGCGCCTTGGCAAGGTGCCCAGGCTGCGGGCAGGGGGTGTCGGCGGGTTGTTCAGGGGGCTGCGCGGAGGAGGAGGATGGGGGGCCGGCGGCGGCGGAAGGCTGTACGGAAGCTGGGGGCTGTCTCAGGAGGGAGGGGCAGCAGTGCGGGGTCTACACTCCCAACTGCGCCCCAGGACTGCAGTGCCAGCCGCCGGAGAAAGAGGATTTGCCTTTGCGGGCGCTGCTGCAGGGCCGGGGCCGCTGCGGCCGGGCGCGCACGCCCTCGGGTGAGTCCGCCGCGCCCCGCCCCTGCCCCGCCCACGTGAGCCCCGCAATTCTGCAGGCTGGGTCCCCGAGGGATGAGCTCGGGGCAGATGGACGCTTCCTTCTCCCTATCTCTGGCAGATTCCAAGCAGTGTCTGCTCCCCTCCCTGTCTTTTCTTCGCCTGACACCCTGACTTTCGCTTCCCATCCAGAGCTTCGAGGGGGGGTGGTATATTCTGGGGGTGAAAGGGCAAGTGCGGGGAGCTCCTACAAGACTGGAGTGAGGCTGACGGCCCTAGGGATGAAGCAGGGAGATGTCTGACCCCGCAGCCTTTTTTGCCCGCTCTGCCTATTTTCTCTTGAGGGGAAAGGGAGAGTTGGAAGGGTTTAGGGACTTGCTGTATGCCACAGAGGCCCAGCTCCTTCAGCCCTAGACCCCCAAGCTGAAGAAAGGACCCAGACATTGTTCCCAGCTTCCACTTAGAAAAAGAGGGAAGAGAACTCCAGACTTCCAAACCCTGAACACACTGAGAAATACCTCCTTTTAATATCAGGGTGTCCAAAGCACCTGAACATAGAGTGAAAAATAGAAGATGGCTCAAATCCAGAGCTGTTTTAGACTAGACTAGGGTCAGAGGGTTGCCGCTAGCCCTCTCCCCCGCCCCCAGGGGGAGGGTTAGAGGTAGGAAAAGAAGGAATCTGCCAAATCAGGGTTATGATTTAAAGCTTTTCAGAACCCTCCACCCACCTCACCCCACCCTAAGCCAGAGAGGAGAATAGAAGGCTGAGTCATTGAGTGGGTGGGACAGAAGTGAGTCAGAACCTGAAAGATGGGGGGCAGCAGGGAGTTGTGGAGAGCAGGAAATGTAAACGCCCCTCCCCCCCCCCCAGGGGCATCTGAGCGCTTCCATGGGAAGGGATGGGAAATCAACTTTCAGTTTCTTTCAGTCCCAAATGCCTGGGTCCAAGCTGTTTGGGGTTCTCCTGGAAAGCAGCGGTCTGGGTGGGTCACAGGAGGCAGCTGGGAGCATGGTCATGGTAGGATACTGAATAGAGAGAATGAGAGGCAAGATTTGAGAAGTGTGGAGGAAGAAGGATCAGACTTGGGATTGCAGAAGAAATGGTTCTTGGGTTTTGAGATGGGAGCAGCTCTCTAGGCTTGAGGTCTGGGGGCTGAGCAGAGCTTGTCTTTGTGCGTGGAGAGGGAGAGACATCACTTCAGGGCTCATAATATTTCATTTCTAGCTGGGGCAGATTCCAAGCAGCGGCGACTCTCCTCCCTGTCTTTTTTTCGCCCCGACACTCTGACTTTCCCTTCTCATCCTGAGCTCTCCCCAAGACCCCCAGTACCGTGCGTAAAACTTTTTCCGGAGAAGGGAGCAGCCTGCAGGTTGGAACCTCTCATTCCTGCACCTTTGCAGCCTGCCCGCCTTCCACCTCCTGGTGAAGGGCTGAATCGCACAGGTTCCTGGGACCGCGGGAGTTGAGCTTGGCTGAGCCTCAGGGGACCAAAAGGCCCCCATTGCAGTGCCCCCAAATTAACTGTGTCTCCGGCCTGGGAGGGGTAGGCTGAGTCACTTTAGGGTCACAGCGGGGACACACATTCCACTTGGGTCCCTGCTGACCCCCTCGCACCGCCGTTTCTCTTCTGCCCCATCTCCCTGGCTTGGTGCGCCCCCTGCTGGCCTCCGGTGGAACAACCAGGCCTTTTCACCCAAAGCCCCAAGGCTCTATCAATGCCTGTATGGTATTGATTTTCGCTTTCCAAAGTACTTGTCTTTTATAAGCCTTAAACTAGCCTGGGGATATTATCATGAAAGGTAATATCACCATTTTTCAGAGAAGGAAACCGAGGCCTGGAGAAAGTAACAGTGGAGCCAGACTCTAACCCCCATCACTGCTCTGAAAGTCCCGCTCCTTTCCACTTGACTCTGTTTGACATCTGGTTGATTTCCGGGCTCTTCTTCCTCCATTCCTCTTGTGTCTGTAGGGGAGAATCCTAAGGAGAGTAAGCCCCAAGCAGGAACCGCTCGCTCGCAGGACGTGAACCGCAGAGACCAACAGAGGAACTCGGGGACCTCTACCACTCCCGCCCGGCCCAATTCTGGGGGCGTCCAAGACTCTGAGATGGTGCGTTTGGGGCTGGCAGGGTGCAGAAGGGGTGGAGAGCCCTGGAGATTCTCCTCTGAGACCACTCCCTTGGGCTTGGCAAAGTCTCCCATCCCAGTCCTGGGAGCCTGGCTGGTGGGCCCAGCAGGCTCTGCAGCAGAGCTGTCCGTCCCCCCAGGGTCCCTGCCGCAAACATCTGGACTCCGTGCTGCAGCAGCTCCAGACCGAGGTCTTCCGCGGGCCTCACACCCTCTACGTGCCTAATTGTGACCATAGGGGCTTCTACCGGAAGCGGCAGGTGAGGCCGTTCCTCCCCTCCCTTGGCCCATCTTACACGACGATTGGGTAGGGTCTTTACAGAGTTGTATAAATGAGACGCTGGCCTGCCTTTAGGGCTCTCCCAGCTTTAGGGCCACGCATAGAGAATAGCGAACCGCAGCTGGGGGAAGGGTTAGATTATCTAAGTGAAACTGAAAGTCGCTCAGTCGTGTCCGACTCTTTGTGACCCCCATGGACTGTACAGCCTGCCAGGCTCCTCTGTCCATGGGATTCTCCAGGCCAGAATACTGGAGTGGGTAGCCGTTCCCTTCTCCAGGGCATCTTCCCAACCCAGGGATCGAACCCAGGTCTCCTGCACTGCAGGCGGATTCTTTACCATCTGAGCCACCAGGGAAGCCCTTAAATTATCTAGTGAAAGTGAAGTTGCTCAGTAGTGTCCGACTCTTTGCGCTCCCATGGACTGTAGCCCACCAGGCTCCTCCATCCATGGGATTTTCCAGGCAAGAGTACTGGAGTGGATTGCCATTTCCTTCTCCAGGGCAACTTCCCGACCGGGGGATCAAACCCTGGTCTCCCGCATTGTAGGCAGACGCTTTACAGTCTGAGCCACCAGGGAAATCAAGATTATCTAAGGAACATCTAACTCTGAGACAGGTTCACATAAGCATCAGAATCACCCTGCCATGAACACTGGTGGCAGAGCCCCACCCGCGGAGCCTGGGAATTTGCATTCTAACATGGCCCCTAGTGATGCTATTGGTTCAGAAACCACACTTTGAGAACCACGGCTCTGGCCTAGAAAAACAGGCGTGCTCTGGTGGGTGGAGAAGGGAAGCCGCAGAAGGGAAGCCAGTGGGCCTCACTATCCTGAGAACACTCAGAGGTTCCCGCAGACTCAGACTCAGGAGTCCACAGCGTGTTCCCAACCCCGGGGGCCCCTCCCATCTCTCCCGCTGGAGCCTCGCGGCACAGCTGATCCGTATGCCTCTCTCCCCAGTGCCGTTCCTCCCAGGGGCAGCGCCGAGGTCCCTGCTGGTGCGTGGATCGCATGGGCCAGCCCCTGCCCGGGTCCTCAGAAGGCGGCGATGGAAGCTCCCTCTGCCCCACCGGAAGCAGCGGCTAAGCCTGGGCTGGGGGGCTGCAGGGCCACTGGCAGGAGCATGGGGCCATCCTCTTGGGTTATTTGCTGAGTGATGGTAACTACACCGTTCAGGCCCTGCCCCACTGTCCCCCTCACCCCTGGGACCTCACATGTGGAAAGATTGCTGGTGTCGGCTTGGGATGTTAATAAAGCTGTGTTGGGGGGATCTCTGGTTTATGTCTCTGTGTTCACCTCTCACATTTATGGAGTCACTGGCCCTTCTTTCTGCCTCCGTCCAGCCCCCACCATGGAAGCTCTCTTTTCTTGTGCACTGCCTTCAGTCCTTCCTTCCACACTCGGAATGACGAGACAGCCACTGGTAGAGGTTTCACAGCCTCAAGCCTCACCCAGCTGCCCACCAGGGAGTGGGAGGCAGGAAATGGGGGTGGGGAGACATTGAGGCCTTGGCAGGCCTTGGTCTGAAGTTGTGACCTTGTTTCTACCATTGATCTTTGGACATAAAGGGAGAGGAAGGATTAATAGTTAATCCCCACCAGTAGCTCAACAAAGAGAAACTCAAGGCACTTATCATTCTCTTCCTTCGTATTAAAAAGGGAAGGAAATTAGTACTCACTCTGCTCTTGCCATGGACCATGCCCTGTTCCATGTGCTTTTACCTGGACTACCTCATTTTGTGCTTACCTTGTGAGATAGGGACTTTTGAACCTGTTTTTCAGAGGAGGAAACTTCAGCTAAAACTATTTGGGTCCTTTGCCTGAAATTCCACAGCCAGCAAGTGATCAAGGGAGGATTGAAATCTGGTTCTTCCATATATGATAACGCTGGCATCCCTCAGGTGCTGAATAAGTTTTTGTTTTGTCTCCTTTCTGCTTACCTGCTAACCCAAGCGGGTGTAGGGGAGGACTGGTGTCCAGGGGAGGACTGGTGTCCAGAGCCCCCAGCACCCAGCCCTCCCCGGAGGGGCCACAGCCCCGCAGTTGTCTCAGGTACCCACCTCAGAATAGTAGTCACGTGCACACACAGCTGTGTTGACAATGTTCTTTCACACACCTTATGGTCTCAGGGAGCTGAGTGCCCTGATACCTGAAGATGTTGCTGACTCCTCCCCAACCTTCAGCCTACTAAGCAGGTGAAGCAGCCATACCAGGTGATAAGCCTCAGAGGGGCAAAGTCCCCCTCCCCGTGATGTGTATGGGTGCAGAGCCCCCATTCCTGTGGGAGAGAGCTGGGCATCTGGATGGTGGCCGGGGGTGTTTGTTGGTGGGAGTGGGGTGGGGTGGGGGAATGTCCATCCCTGTGACAGCCAGCAGAGCCTGTGGCTGAGATGGTGCTGCCTTCTGGATGGGGATAGGGGATCGGAAAACCTATAACCCCTCCTCCTGAAAGGACTTTAGCCTTTGGTGCTGTCAGAGGTGCCAAGATAAGCGCTCAGCCAGGCAAGCTTGAAGGAAGAGAGAAAACACTGATCAGCCGCCACTGCCTGGTCAAGACTCACATCATGGAGCCAAGGGCGGCCCAAGTGCGGAGGAGAGAAAAGCGAGGAAGACAGCAAGAGGACCGCCCCTCCAGAGAAGGGGAGCCCCACTCTGGGGGTGCGGAACGCCCAGGTGGCGTTGGAGGTGGGGATGTGCTGTCGAGAGAGGGCTCCTGCTATCTACCTTTAATCCTTCCGGCTGTCCTGGGAGGCCAGTAAAGGCAGACCCCAGCCTCTGCCTCCTGACTGCCCAGCTGGGGAAGTAAGGAGAAAAGGGCTATCCAATGCCTTGCCTTGTCTTTCTGACTCTTTTTCACCCCAGTCAGTGATTAGAGTAGCTTCTTGTTCCCTGGGTACCCTGTTTCCTGTAATATCATCAGGCTCCCCGCTTGCCGATGGCCTGCTCACCCCCTGCAAAAATACCCTCCTTCTGATTACCCCCACCCCTCTCACCCTCCCTACTCTGGCCATGATACTAGATATTGACTGCTTGTAGGGAGGGGAGGCTGCTGAGCAAACAGAAAGCAAACTTGCTGGATGGAGAAAGCCTCTGAGTCTGCACTAGACAGCAGAACCCCAACTTCTCCTTTCCCCAGGAAACACAGAGGTGCACAGAGGCCCAGATTTGGTACAATGGACCCAACATATGCAGGTGAGCAATGTCGGAGGTCAAACGGACGGGTCCTGGAGTAGAGGGAGGAAAGGGTGAGGACTGGTTTGGTGATAAAGACAATTTGTTCTTGGGTTCAAACCTCTCAGATCAGGGTAGAGCTAAGGGTTAAGATGGAGGAGTTTGAAGCACAGGTCATCAGGGCAGGGGCCCAAAGTCAGCCGGTGAACAGTCTTCTGTTAGCAGGACTGGAGTTCAGGAGAGGAAAGGCTGGGGTCAGGGAGAAGAGAGTAGGATCAGAGATGACGAGGTGTTTGGCGGTCAGATCCAGAGACTGAAAGTATCTTTCCTAGATCCCCACTGCTGCCCTGCGAAACCAGTGGGAGTTAAACTGGGGGTAGGGGGAACCTCTGGGCAGGAACCATGCTTGTTCTTCTGTCAATCCTGGGCACTCAGCAGTGTGCCTGGCATGCAGGGAGGCTCAGGAAGTGTTTGCTGAATGGGAGGGAGGCTGACTGGATGGAGGGATGGTGCACCCTGCCCTGTTTTGTCCTGCAGGCTGTAAAGACACAGCTGCTGGAGCAAGCACAGGGCCAGCTGATGCAGCTGCTGGATCAGGCCATGTGGGAGGCCATTCAAGCTTACCCACCGCAAGACAGACCAGTGCCCTCCATCCCTCCAGACTCCTTGCACAAGTAAGAGTCTCAGGAGCCGGGGGCTGAGGAGCGGCTGTGTGGCCTCCTCCATCATAAGGACTATGAGCCACAGATGTTATCTCACATGCCCTTTTCCAGCATGGATGTAACTTTGACTTCAGTCTTCCCTCTTCTTCCCTATCGCCTCTGTCTTCCTGACATTGCTCTCCCTTGGCCATGACCTTTTCACCTCGTCCTGTGTGCTGGCCCTAACCCTGACCTTCCCCTACTACTGCCCTTGGCTCCCATGTAGTGACCTCCTGCAAAGCCCTATGCTCTGCTTATAGCCTCCTGCCTTTGGTTCCTAACCCAGAACTACTGTCTCAATTCAGGACCCGGGAGCCATCCCTGGGGAAACGAAAAGTTTTCATCATCCGCAAGTCCCTGCTTGAGTAAGTCAGGGGAGAGGACAGGGGATGGGAAGAACAGAAAGAGCTTTGTCTGGGGGTCCAGGACACCTCATTTGTCATCCTCAGGCTCTAGGTGGTTTAGGAGAGGATGTGGAGATGGTTTCTAAGGTTCCATTTCTCTATCTGCCCTGGGCGTAATCGTGGAAGAAAGGCCACCAGGATGAGGGTTGTCTGGGATGGAAAGGGCTTTGGACAGAAGTCCCAGCCGTACCACGGCCTGTCGCGTCAAGTTCCCAGTCACTAGGCCCCATCCCCACGGTGTACAATGCCTGCAGCACCTCAAGGACTCTCCCACTGACATTCTGGCCCCTGTCCTTCCAGCGAGCTGATGGAGGTGCCTCACTTCCGCACCATCTACCATATGTTTGTCGCCGGCCTGTGCGTCTTCATCGTCAGCACCCTAGCCATCGACCTCATTGATGAGGGCAGGTAGACACCCCTCCCTCTCATAGGCCCACAGACCAGGTCAGACCACCTGGGCTCCTAGAACTCCACCTGCCACTGGGGCCCCATAGAGCAGGTCCATTTGATCATTAAACACACATCAACATTGCTTCCAACCACCTTCCTACCCCCAAAGCCCTCTTAGATTTCCCTGCACAGCCTTGAATGGCCTTTGGTCTGTTTAACCAGGATCAGTCCCCTGGGGACGCCAGACCCCCACTCAAATCCTCTGGAACCCTTGTCCTGAGGCAGACATGCATGTATATGCACTCATAAGTGTGGTTCCCACCTCACTGCTCTCACGCACTCCATTCCAAGACAGTGCTGTTCAATTCAAGCAACCTCCAGTGAGTCCCCTAAGGGGGACTGAGGGCCAGCCCTGGGGGCCAGAGGACGGGCCATGCCTCTGTCTGTGAGGCATTCCCAGTCTTGAGGGGAAGATAGATGTATGCACACAAGAGCCCAGGTTTCCCTACAAAACCCCTTCCCTCTCTGGGATGAGCTTCAGGGGACTATGGACCCTTGGGGGTTTGGATTTTCATGATCCTGCCTCACCCTCCAGATAGCTTAGGAAGCAGTAAAAGGAAGAGGACCAAAGATTTGCAGGTTCAGCAACAGCACTTCCTTTTGATAAAATTGTTGTCAATCCTTATAACTAAGGATCAAATCTCAGTAAAATTTTCAAATATATGCAGAGCAACTCCTCCACCATCCCCTCTATCCCAGACCGCTCCCCAGAGGTAACATATTTAACAGTTGTAAGAGTTTCTCTCCAGGGCATTTTTCATGCCTCCACTTCCAGATGTATGTAAGAACCAAGGGGATGTATTTGGCGGGGGGGGGGGGGGGGGGGGCTTACATTACTAAGATATACTGTACCTTTTATTTCCTTTTCACTCCCTAAACACCCACCTTAGAGATCTTTCCATGTTGCTCCATTGATTTTAATGGCTGCAGAGTCTGGAAGTGCCAGCTTTTGATCACTTAGTTCTTTATTAATGGACTTAAAAATCACTTCTAATTTACCATTACAAGCCATGCACTCTTTTTTGGCCACACTGCATGGCTTACTGGATCTTAGTTCCCTAACCAGGGATTGAACCTGAGCCACCACAGTGAAAGCTCAGAATTCTAACCACTGGATCTCCAGGGATTTCCCAAACTATATACATAATACATATTTTACACCAATATATAATATTGGTAATTTTATTTATTTTTGGCCATGCTGGGTCTTCCTTGCTGCATCTAGTTGTGGAGGGCAGGGGCTGCTCTAGTTGTGGTGCAAGGGCTTCTTACTGCGGCAGCTTCTCTTGCTGCAGCGCACGGGCTCAGGGGCCGGAGAGCTTCAGTAGTTGCGGCACGTGGGCTCAGCAATGTGTCTTCCGAGAGCTCTGACTGCAGAGGAAGGGGACAAGTTTGGGCCTCATGCTCATCTACTTTGTCGCCTTCCCCACTCCCAGGCTGATGATGGAGTTTGATCTACTGACCTTCAGCTTTGGACAGCTGCCCTTGGCTCTGGTGACATGGGTCCCTATGTTCCTGTCCACTCTGCTGGTGCCATACCAGGCCCTGCGGCTGTGGGAGAGGCCCCAGTCTGGAGGGGCCTGGGCCCTGGGGGTGGGCCTGGGCTGCTTGCTGCTGGCTGCCCACGCCGCCATGCTCGGCATCCTCCCGGTCCACGTGGCAGTGGACTATCAGCTCCCGCCAGCCTCCCGCTGTGTCCTAGTCTTTGAGCAGGTGGGTGATGGGCGGGACCAATGGTGGGGTGGGGCCCTTGGGAGAGAGGGCATTGGATACGGTATTGGTGGGGGTGGAGCTAGTTATCAGGGGCAGAGTCCTTTGTGACAGATTTGAGCCAACCAGCAGTCTCCAAAGAAATGTAAACAAATGGACACTGCTGTGCAAATATAATCATATAGTAGAAGGGAGTTGGCACGCTAGAGGCTCTGCCCTTTCTGGTACTCCTTTACCCTAGATTCATCCCAGCAGCCGTCTGTGTTAGGTTATAAGACTATCCAACAAAAAGATAAAAGTATGGGCGTTGACCATACAAAGTTTACAATCTACCTGGCCCTCTCCCGGTGTAAACCTGAGCACAGAGAGGTTAAGTGATCTGTTCAAAGTCCCAAAGCACCTTAACCTCATTTCTATTCCACCTCAGGTCAGGCTCCTGATGAAAAGCTACTCCTTCCTGAGAGAGACGGTACCAGGGACCCTTTGGGCCAGAGGAGGTGAGGCCTTCAGCAGACGCTGCTGTGAACTCAGTCCTCTTGGTTGGTTGAATGAAGCCAGAAGGTGCAATGAAGCCAGCAGCCTCATAAAAGCTCCAACTTTCTAAGCCCATCTTGCCCACAGGGCACACCTCCAGCCGCCAACTGGGCTCTCTGGGCCTTAGTCAATCGGCGTTCTCTTAGGTCCCACTTCTGAGAAGGCTGCTCTACTGCCCAGGACTTCTGGCTCATCCTTATTTAGACCCAGGGTATGAGAGCCTTATATGAGAAAGTCAAACCAGAAGGAGAGAGAATCGGGTGGTGGGACTTGTGGGTGCCAAATGAAGCCCTGGCCACAGTCCGTCTTATGCCAGAAAAGCGGGGGGGGGGGGGGGGGGGGGGCGGGGTGTACCTGGAATGGAAGCAAAAGGAGGCTGTTAAAAAGCAGGTTCAACTCCTGCCCAGTTTGACCTCCTCCCCCCACCTTCAGATCCCATATCCAGGTGCTCACCCGTCCCCTATCCAGTCTATTCACCAGTCCCACTGCCCTTCCCTAGCACCACACCCACCTGTGTCCTCTCTCCCTTCCCTCTTCACTGACAGACCCCTCTTACTCCTCCTCAGGTGAGGGGATCCGGGCCCCCAGTTTCTCCAGCTACCTCTATTTCCTCTTCTGCCCCACACTCATCTATAGGGAAACTTACCCCAGGTAAGAGCCTGCACCCCCTTCCCCACATGCCCAGGCCCACCAGGGACCCAACCCTTCTACTCTCCTCTCCCTGAGGTGTTTAGCCTCAACCCAGACACTGGCCACTTTCTCAGGGAGCACCTCACAATAAAGATGGGAATAAGGGACAGATATGTTGCCCCTTCTTCTTGCCCCAGCCCATGGTGATGCAGGGGTGACTGACTGTCCTGGTTTGCCCAGGACTGCCCCAGTTCACCCAGGATTGCTCCAGTTTTAGCACTGAAATTCCTATGTTCTGGGAAACCCCTCAGTCTGGAGCAAACTTAGTGGACGCTCAAAATTCCACTTGTCATCTTTGTTAAGGAAGATTCAAAGTGTTCTAGATCCCCACCTCCCCAGGTAATCCTCCCAGGCCTGGGCAATTGAGGGAGCTGTGGATAGAGGGCCCCAGATGCTATGTCTGCCTCTGGCAGGAACAAGACAAATAGATGAGAAACATACTGTCTCCATTCCATTGCTGCAACAGGACACCCAACGTCAGGTGGAATTATGTGGCCAAGAACTTTGCCCAGGTCAGCAGACGGAGTCGAAGCGTGGACTACCTGTGACTCATGGTGGCTGAGGGAGCATTTCTGGGAGTGAAGTAGGGGAGGCCCAGGAAGAGGTCAGAGGGTTGTGCAAAGAGAAGGGAAGGCAGATGCTGGGCCAGAGTCCAACTCCAGAGGAAGGGGGCAGTTGCCAGTGACTCCTCTCAAAGTTATGTGTCCTCCGCCCCTCTCCAGGCCCTGGGCTGCGTGCTCTACGCCTGTTTCATCCTGGGCCGCCTCTGTGTTCCTGTCTTTGCCAACATGAGCCAGGAGCCCTTCAGCACGCGTGCCCTGGTGCTATCCATCATGCATGCCACCTTGCCAGGTATCCCCATCGGAGGCAGAGCTGCGGAAGGCTGCACCCTGGAGAAGGATTAGCAGGGAACTCCTCCCTCCTCTCACTCCTAGTTGCAACACCTTCCCTCTGACATCTGCCCTCTCCTCTGGTTGCTCATTGTCAGAGTCTCACTTCAGATTGGGGTGTCCCTGGTGGCTCAGTGGTAAAGAATCTGCCTGCCAGTGCAGCAGACACAGGTTCGATCCCTGGGTCCAAAAGATCCCCTGGAGAAGGAAATAGCAACCTACTCCGGTATTCTTGCCTGGAGAATTCCATGGATAGAGGAGCCTGGCGGGCTACAGTCCATGTGGTCCAAAGAGTTGAACACAACTTAGCGACTAAACAGCAGCAGCACTTCAGATTGCCGTCCTGTCCCCAACCTCTCCCAACAGGCAGAGATTTTAACATTCATGTCTATGTTCCAACATCAGTCATGGGCTTCATGAGCAAATGGATTGAATGAATGAATGCATAAATTAGTGAATGATTAATAAGTGATTGGTAGCTTGCTGGGTGAGGACTTCCTGGGAGGACCCTAGAGATTCATGGGGGACCAGGGGGACCCGTCTGACTTGCAGTCCCTTGTCTTCACTTCCCAGGCATTTTTATGCTGCTGCTCATCTTCTTTGCCTTCCTTCACTGTTGGCTCAACGCCTTCGCGGAGATGCTACGATTTGGAGACAGAATGTTCTATCGGGTGGGGCCTGGACCTGGGCTACCTGGGAGCTGGATGCAGGGAGAGCTAGGGAAGGACGTAGGGGAGGATGATGGCTATGTTGGTTGTCACCTTGATACTGAACCAGGTGCATTTTCCCAATTCTCACTAAGTCAAACACTGAGATACCGAGATTTACAGCAGAGAAATGGTTTCTTCAACAAGGCAGCCAAGTAAGGAGAAGTGAAAACAATCTGATTTGCTTCCCCAAAGGCCAAGGGCTTGAGATATTTATAGGATAAAGAAGCAAGGAGATCTTAGGCTTGGAAAAAGTGATTGGAGGTAGAGAAAAGGTGAGGTAATCAGTGTTCTGCACAAGCGTGTCTGAGTTACATGCTTCTTCATGGGATGCATGTTAAAGAATGGCATAAACTTGGCATAAACTGAGGGTGGACTTTTGGGCTCTCTGATGTCAAAAAGTCATTCATCCAACAGCTTTACAGGCCCAGTTTTAGGATCAGTGGTCCTAGCCAGTTTTAGCCCACTTGAACTAGACAGGAGCCAACTTCAAGTCCTGGAAAATTTATGCTTCCTGTTGCTATAGTGACCCATACATCAGAGGTGTTATCCGTACGGGATGGTTAAGGAGTCAAAAAAAAAAACAAAAAACTAAGGCTTTGTCAGTGAAGGCAGGTTACAGCAGAAGGATTTTTAACAAACTGTTCCCTTCCCTGCTCTTCTGTAAGACAAGCTCAAGAATTTCTGTTAGTCACCAGTTTCTGTTAACCCCAAGGGGCATGATTTCAACCTCAGCTGCGCTGTCAGCCTCCCACAGTGAGAAATGTGCTCCTTTGGGTATGCTTATAATGTCACCCATCCACCTCCTGACCAGCCAGGGCTCAATGCTTTTGTGGGGCTGGTACTTTGGAATCTTCTGAGAGTAGACAGGAAGGGCTCCAGGGCCTGAGGAGGGAGTTAGGCCAATGCTTGCTGGCTCTCTCCTGCTGGGAGCCACCCTTGCAGAGAACAAGGACAGGAAGTGGGGAGCAGGGAGACGCAGCTGGGAACTGGGCAGAGACAGGGCCCTGATGTTCACCTCCTCCCCCGCCCTGACCCCATCCCACCCCACCCCCAGGACTGGTGGAACTCAACATCCTTCTCCAACTACTACCGCACATGGAACGTGGTGGTCCATGACTGGCTCTACAGCTACGTGTATCAAGATGGGCTTTGGGTACGGGCTCAGCTCCCACGGTTAACAGAACCTCTCTGGGACACCCTCTCTTTCCCTTTCTCTGCACATTCCATTTTTTCTAGACCCAAGAGCCCCTTTGACTTTCACCTCTTTCATTCTACCCAACCCAGAGGGCAGAAAGAAAGTCCTTCTTATGATCTGACTTCCTTCCTTTCTTGTCCTCAACTACACCTCCTCCACAGGGTATGTCTCCTCTCCTCAGCCTTCTAAGGAATATGCATATAGCAATTTTCAGTTACCAAGAATTTTCCCACACTGTATAATCTGCACTGTAAGCCTGAGAAGTAAGTATGATTATATCCCCCTTTTGAAAGCGGCCTCTAAGGCCCAATAGACTAATACAATGCTTTTAAGTAAGACATGTCAGCCTTTCTGATCCCAAGCCCCATATTCTTCCCATCGTACTACATACCCTCTGGCTTCCTTAAAGAGGGGGGCTCTTTGCGGAGGGGGCTTAGGGAGACTCACTCTACCCTCCTCCCCCAACCCCTGCCAGCTCCTTGGTGGCCGGGCCCGAGGCGCAGCCATGCTGGGCGTGTTCCTGGTCTCAGCAGTGGTCCATGAGTACATCTTCTGCTTCGTCCTGGGATTCTTCTACCCCGTCATGCTGTTGCTCTTCCTTGTCTTTGGAGGTGAGCTGGGCCTCTGTATGCCCCGGTAGAGGGAGACATCCCGAGGGAAGAGTCCTGGAGATTCCAGACTGATGGGAGAGGCCACGTACCCAAGACAGAAGCGGAGTGTGCATGCCTCCTGGGGAAGGCATGGTGCTGTGTGTGAGAGCTGGGGGCGGGGCAGGGGACTTGGAAGCTGGGAAGGAGGTAGCATCGGGAGTCAGCACAGAGGTATCCTGGACGGGGGGTGCAGTGGGAAAACACTTCTGGCTGGAGAGCAGCATCTGAGCAGGGCACACAGAGGGAGACAAAGGGGAGAAAACTGCAGTGGGTTGGGAGGTTCAGTAAGGCAGCCAGGATAGCGAAGCGTAAACTGAAGAATCCTGAAGAATGCCTGAGACCTCCGTGGGTGCCTGGAGTTGGGCTCAAGATCTTTCTCAGTCTTCCTGTTCCAACTCTCCCCTGTGCCCTGAGATAAGAAGGCAGCCAGGAAGATACATTACAGGTGTCTGGAGCTGAGGTGACTACCTTTCCTCCTGCATCAGGGCCACTGAACTTCACAATGCATGACCGGCGCACGGGCCCAGCGTGGAACGTGCTCATGTGGACCTTGCTCTTCCTGGGCCAGGGCATCCAAGTCAGCCTGTACTGCCAGGAGTGGTATGCACGGCGCCACTGCCCCCAGCCCCAGGTAAGCAGCCATGACCCGCCCCCACCCCGCCCGCTCAGCTCCTCACCCAGGAGGACATGCCTCCTCTCCCCGGCAGCCAGCCCCTATGGTTGCCCCGTTCAACAGCCATGGTCAGGGTCCAGGGCCTGTTCCCTGGGTTCCCGTGTCTTAGATGCATAGGGTAAGCCCCGGGAGGGATCTTGTTCACAACTCACTTTTCTCTGGCACAGACAACCTTCTGGGGGCTGGTGACACCTCGATCTTGGTCCTGCCATACCTAAATGCCAGGGTACTGTCACCGCGCAGATGACACCACCAAGTTCTTCTCTGCCTGCAAAGTCTGGGACCAGGACTCCTCTCTGCATTCTCAGATCGAGCTCTGAGTCAAGGGGGCCTGCCATGCCTGACCCCACCAGGGAACTCCAGGGACTGAGATCTGTGGACCTGTGAGCATAGACTCAGAATGGTGATGACTCTTGAGCCCCCATCCCTGTGGACTGGGCATAGGGCCCCTCTTACTCCATGGCTGTTGACTGGCAGAGACACGAAGGATCTTACAGATCTGGTGAATGTGGCTTGACTTAAAGCAAGCTGAGGTTATCAAGGTCTGAGAAGGATTTGTTTCTTTGTACTCTTTCCAATACAATAATAAACTGTATGTATCACTTTTTATTCATTCATTCATTCGTTTAAGACCCATTTTTTTTGCCACACCACACAGCATGTGGATTCTTCGTTCCCCGACCAGGGATCCAACCCACACTCCTTGCATTGGAAGTACAGAGTCTTAACCACTGGACCACCAAGGAAGTCCCTTGAAGACCCACTTTTAAAAACTTTTTACAATTGAAGTATAAGTTGATTTACAATGTTGTGTTAATTTTTGCTGTACAACAAAGCGACTTCTTTGTGTGTGTGTGTGTGTGTGTGTGCGCCCAAAACTCAAATTATATTCTTTTCCATTAGGCTTTATCCCAGGACATTGAGTATAGTTCCCTGTGTTATATAGTAGTGCCTTATTGTTTGTTCATTCTATATATAATAGTTCACATCTACTATTCCCAAACCCCCAGTCCATCCCTCCCCAATCCACCCACCTCCTTGGCAACCACAAGTCTGTTCTCTGTGTGAAGACTCATTTTTTTAAAAACTTTTATTTTATACTGGAGTATAGCCTTTTGTGATAGTTTCAGGTGAACAACAAAGCAACTCAGCTATACATGTACATGTATCCAACTCCCCTCCATTTTAAGGTTGCTGTACGGCATTGAGCGGATTTCTCTGTGCTATGTAAGTGGTCCTCATTGGTTATCCATCTTAAACATAGCATTGCGTACATGGTGACCAAACCAGTCAATTCTAAAGGAAATCAACCCTGAATATTCACTGGATGGACTGATGCTAAAGCTGAAGCTCCAATACCTTGGTCACCTGATGTGAAGAGCCAACTCATTAGAAAAGACCCTGATCCTGGGAAAAACTGAGGGCAGAAGAAGGAGGTAACAGAGGACAAGATGGTTGGATGGCATCACCAACTCAATGGACATGAGTTTGAGCAAACTCCAGGAGATAGTGAAGGACAGGGAAGCCTGGAGCGCTGCAGTCCCTGGGGTAAGAAAGAGTCACACATGACTTAGCAACTGAACATGTTGACGACCCACTTTTGACAGGCATGATTGAAGAGTGTGCCTGCAAAGGCAGGACTTTGTGATGGGAGGGGCTGAGTGATATCCTCCTCATCTTTTCTATGCCACCCCAATCTGCCCAAAACTCAAATCACTCCTCCTTCTACCTCTCCTCCTTCAGATCAAATTTCTACAGCCCTTTAATCCTTCTAATCCTGGCAATCTCCAGCACGTTTTCAGAGAGCACATAGCTGGCCTCCTTTCCTTCAGAGGACCCAGGAGAAGAACCTCCTACACAGACCATAGCCAAATCTTTTAACTTCATGAGCTTCAGCTTCCACAGCTATGAAATGGACATTTAGGGAGTTCCTTGGTAGTCTAATGGTTAGGGTTTGATGCTTTCACTGCTTTCTTTACACCAGCACCACACTTTCCTGATTACTGTAGCTTTATAATGTCTTGAAAACAGGTAGTGTAAGTCATTCAACCTTCTTCTTTTTCAGTCATTTTGCCTATTTGAAGTCCTTTGAATTTTCATTATAAACTTTAGAATTGGCTTCTAAATTTCTTTTAAAAAAAGAAAAGTCTGCTGGGATTTTGATTGGAATTACACATTATAGCTGTAGACCAATATGGATAAAGTTGACGTCTTAACAATTAAGTCTTCCCATCCATTGATATACTATATCTCTCCATTTATTGAGGTCTTCTCTATTTTATTGCAGTAACATTTTGTAGTTTTTAGTGCACAGGATTTGCACATTTTGTCAGAATCTCCCCTAAGTATTTCATGTTTTAATGATATTTTTAATTACAATTTCTGATTGTTAATTGCTAATATAGTGAAGTCAACTTTTTTTTTTTTGGCTGCCCTGGGTCTTCATTGCTGAGCATGGGCTTTCTCTTGTTTCAGTGAGCAGGGGCTCCTCTCTAGTTGTGGTGCATGGGCTTCTCATTGCAGTGGCTTCTCATTGTGGAGCACAGGCTCTATGGCGTGCAGGCTCAGGGGCTTAGTTGGCCCCCCAGGTGTGGGAATCTAAACTCCCCGACTAGAGATCACATCTGTGTCCCCTGCCTTGGCAGGTAGATTCTTAACCAGTGGACCACCAGGGAAGTCCCAACCAACTGATTTTTGAGTATTATCCTTGTATCTTTAAACCTTGTTAAATGTACTAATTATTTCTAGGAGTTGCTTACTTTTGAAGTTACTTTTTTTTGAAGACTCCAAAGGATTTTCTACAGAGATGGTCATGTCATCAGCAAATAGATAATTTTATTTCTTCTTTTCCAATGTTAATGCCTTTTATTTCTTTTTCTTGCCTTATTGCACTACCTAGACCCTCCAGTGTTGGAAAGAAGTAATGATAGTAGACATCTTTGCCTTGATCTCAGGGAGAAGCATTCAGATTTTCATATTAATGTTAGCTGTAGGTTTTTCATGGATGCCCTTTATGAAGTTCAGAAAGTTCCTTTCTGTTTCTAGTTTGCTAAGAGTTTTTCTTTTTTTTCTTTTTTCCTGCCAGAAGTGGATGTTTAGGAAATTCCCTGGCAGTCCAGTAGTTAGAACTCAATGCTTTCACTGCTGTGGGCTCGGGTTCAATCCCTGGTCAGGGAGCCAGGATTCTGCAAGCCATGTGTCATAGCCAAAATAGAAAATAAAAATAAATGGGTGTTAAATTTTGTCAAATGCTTTTTCTGCATCTACTGAGATGATCATATTTTTTTCCTTTTTTAAACTTTCAGTATGTAAATTACATTGAGTTAACATACTGGAACAGATCCTACTTAATGCTGATACATTTTTAAATGTATCATTTGTTTCTATTTACTAAATTTTAAAAATAATTTTGCATCTCTGTTCTCAGTAACTATTGATCTGTAATTTTCTTTTTTTTTTTTTCATTTATGTAATTTTCTTGTAACTCCTTTATTTTGATATGAGTGCAATTCTGGCCTCAGAACTAGTTGGGAAATACTCCCTTCACTGATTTTCTGAGTTTGTAGAAGTGCCATTTTAAAAAATTAAATGTATGGTAGAGTTCAGCAGTAAAGCCACCAGAGACCAGAGTTTTCTTTGGAAAGGGGTTTTCAAAATTCAAGTTCTTAAATATATTTAGGGTTTTTCAGGCTACCTATTTCCTCTTACCTGAGCTCTAGTAGTTTGTGACTTCCAAGGAAATTGTCCATTTCATCTGTATTGTCAAATTTAGGGGCAAGATTCAGGACTTTCTTGGTGGTCCAGTGGTTAAGAATCTGCCATGCAATTCAGAGGACACCGGTTTGATCCCTGGTCAGCAAACTAAGATCCCAGGTGCTGCAGGGCAACTAAGCCAGTATGCCCAAACTACTGAGCCTATGTGCTCCAAGCCTGCACAGTACAACTAGAAAGCCTGTGGGCCACAAGGAAGGTCTCAAGTGCTGCAACTAAGACCTGATGCAGCCAAATACATAAGCATTTTTTTTTAATTTATGAGCAAAATTTTATTCATAATATTCCTTCATCCTTTTCCATATCTGTTAACATCTGTGGTTACGTCCATTCTTGCATTTATTGTCTTTTTTTTTTTGGCCATGACAAGGGGCATGCAGGCATGTGGGATCTCCCCACCAGGGATCAAACCCATGCCCCCTGCATTGGGAGCATGGAGCCTTGACCACTGGACCACCAGGGAAGTTCTTTCATTTTTGATGTTGGTAGTTGGGTGTTCTTTCTTTTTTTTTTCCTTGATAATGTATGACTTCAGTTTATCAATTTTATTCATCTTCACACAAAAAAAACTTTTTTGGTGCACTGAGTTTATTGTTTTTCTGTTTCCTACTTCACTGATTTCTGCTATGATCTTTTTAACTCCCTTGTTTCTTACTTTGGGCTTAATTTTCTCTTCTTTCCAATATCTTAAGGCAAAAGCTGAGGTCTTTGAAATCTTTTTTTCTTTATGATATAGGTATTTGGTGTGCAAATTTCTCTCCAAGCAGTGCTTTAAGGGCCTCCCACAAATCTGGATGTGTTTCATTCAGTTCAATATATTAATACTTCATATTTTCACTTTTCATCTTTGGTCTGTGGGTGGTTTTGAAGTATGTGCCTTCGTTTCCTGATATTTAGGGGACTTTCCAGATATCTGTTTTATTTTTTTTAATACATCTTAATGTTTATTTATTTTGGCTGTGCTGGGTCTTTGTTGCTGCATGCAGGCTATTTCCAGCTGGGGCAAAAGGGCTTCTCTTTGCAGTGGCTTCTCTCCTTGTGGAGCACAGGCTCTAGGTGCACAGGCTTCAGTAGCTGTGGCACGTGGGCTCAGCAGCTCTGGTGTATGCGCTTAGTCATTCCGGGGCATGTGGGATCTTCCTGGACCAGGGATTGAACCCATGTCCCCCACACTGTAAGGCAGATTCTTAACCACTGTACCACCAGGGGAGTCCCTCTGTTTTATATTTCTAATTTAAATCATTTTGATCAGAGAACATACTTTGTTTGATTGGCATTGTTTTAAACTTACTGAGACTTGTTTTACTGTCCAGAATGTGATCTATCTTGTAAATGTCTAGTGGGCACTTGGAAACAATACTCCATTTGGGTGGAGTATCTATAAATATCAATTAGGTCAAATTATTTACTGTTATTGTTCAATTTTCTATGTCCTTACTGACTTTTC